TCTCATGCCCACATCTGAGAATATGGCTTTCACCATAGCTGTTGAAACAAGAGATTTATCATTTATTTAGCACACTTGTGGTTACCAGGCCATGGTTAATTGCTTCTTGCAGAATGTGTTTAGTTTAATCTATGTTTTAGAGATTCCTATTTATTTCTTGATTACTCATGTTCATCTTAGTTACAAGTAAAGTTGCAGAATTTAGAGAAAGACTATGCATGTTTTTAGAACACATAGAAATTGTAAGAATGGCCATCAGAGAACCTCGCCCTAACACTTTGTTTGTAGCTGTTTGGTCATGGTCGTGAAAATAAACATTACCTTTTTTCACAGTGAAATGATTTAATAGAAAGACCTAAGTTTAGAATGGCCAAGGATTTATAGGATGGAAGTGAAATAAAAATGAGGAACCACTTGCTGTGTATTGTGCAGCAACAGAGGAGTAAATGTTCATAATCTCACCCATCCTTCCCCCGGTCCTAAGTGTGATGGACAGTCATGCATACATACAAGTTTAGGAGAGCAGGCTCTCTGTTTATACTGGGGTTCTAAGCCATTCACATGTATTACCAAGGGTCTGCCAGTGGTTGGAAAATACTTATGAACTAAATAATCAGACCTCATGAAAGACAGAGAAAATGATTCCAACAGAGAAAATCTTTATCTTTGACTGGAAAGATAATAAATCTCTCCAAAAATAAATAAAAGGTTATATAATCCTTTATTTTAATTTAGCCCTTTCGTTTGTGGAAGAGAAAAGAGAAAAAAAAAGTACTACATTAATCATCTTTAGTTTGGATAAGATAGCATAATGGTTCATTTATTTAGAATTGAGTACTCGTGTGTCATCAGCTGAGCTTTCCCTTCTGCTATGATTAATTATCTTCCTAGCCAATGACTATTAACCATTCTGTGGATTAAAGTCATGGTAGCCCAATGGCATTTAGGATCTCAATAATGATGGCGTTCAGAAGTTATTTGAAAATGCCAAAAAGGCAGATATACTGAGGAACATCTGTCTTGAAATTTGAAGTGCTGGGCTACATAAATGGGGTAGAAATCAATCTTTATCTTTATACATGGATAGAAGAGTCTATTAGTGTGGCTGGTTTTCATTTAGATTTTCATCTTTCCAGCATCATCCTCATAGGACACTGCCTCCAGTTTCCAAGCTACTCGCGGGGTTAAGGACCAATGTGTCATCCAAATCATACACAAGACAGGCTGCTTATATAAAAATTTTGAAAGTGTTTCATTTTATATCACCTATGAGTCGTATAAAATGACGGCCATGAAATTACACCTCATAGCTAGCAACTTGCTAATCTGACAAACATTTCTTAATCCTTTAGAGAAACTGAAAATTCAGAAGGTTTATGGATCTTGACACCTTGTTCAACTTATAAATGAGTGAATAGCATATGGGTCAGATCAGGATAATCTTATCCGGAGCATTTAGAAATATTAAACATGAATACGAAGTTGTCATTTTAAAGAAAACCTCAAAAGACTACTTTCATTTTTATAACACCACCCAGAAATTGTGATTATTTTATCCAATATCCTCAGTGTTGAGCTTAGTTGAACATGCGTTAGAAACGAAACAAGCTTTTATCTGATTACATAAAACTGTATGACGTTCTCTGGGAAAGAAATTGAAAAGTTTATGTGTCTCCTCTTCTCAAAGGGCTTAAAGTTTCAAATAAAAAACTGAAATTGGCTCACAAAATGAAATCGGAGTGTTGCTTTTGGTGTATCTTCATTACAAATTGCACTTTCTAAAGTCTATTTAATCTTTTAAGACGTGTTTAAAACAACAATGAGTAGAACAAAGAATTTTTTACTTCAGAAACTTTATAAATTCCTACTGTCTATATCTTTTTGTAGCTGCAGTAGTAGTTTAAAGGCAAATCCCTCTGACCTGTGTCTCTTCCTTCACTCATTTGAGATTCAAGGTCATTTGCCAGATATTGCTTTAAAATGTACTTTATACCTGAAAGTTTACTCTGTGTTTTAGGCATTGTGTGGAGTTCAAAATTAACATACCTATACTTCAAGAACACATAGTCCAAATGAGGGGATAAAAGATGTCCATACATAACCATAATGTAAGTTAGATGGTGATTTAGATGCTGAAAATTACTGATTGGCATTTAATACCGATGTATCAGTTATTTTTTCTCCCTGGTCACAGTGAATGGCATAGAACATTCACTGAAGGATGAACATTGAGGAGGCTGTAGGCCTTACTTAACGGTCTCTGCCTTTAGCTGAGGATGGTGAGAATACTTTGATGACTTATATTGTATTTAAACAAAAAACTTGGTAGGACTTTGTTTTATGGACACAGTAATTAATCATTTGAATTTTGGCAAGCTGTACACTTGACAATCATGTTTGTGTTTTTCCAGGGCAGTCGAGGAGAAACAGGACCCGAAGGAGCCCCAGGCATTCCAGGTAAACTGGTAAGTAATGTTTCCCGTTTCCAGCAGTTTATTTACTCCATACAAAACATGATACATTTTAAAAAAATGAGCAAGGAAGAGGAAAAACAATGTACAAAGGGTACTTTAATCCTCCTGACTTGATTTTTATTGTTATGTGACTATGTGAAAAATGTGTAATTTTAAACTATCCCTAAAATACCCTCTGTGGGTATTTTAATCAGTGTGGCTTGTCACATACATTTTAAAACCAGGAGAGGCATGAAGTGCTACATTTGGCCTCTGGTTGTTCTTGGACGAGGAGAGACCTGTGCGTGAATGCTGCCTTTTACTTCTCCAGCAGGGCTTGTTTACACAGCCAGAAAGGCAGTGCCATTTCGGGGGAGCTAGACTGAAAGAGCCCACTGTTGGGAAAGAGACCAAACTGGGGAATTGAGGACCTCAGAGGTGGGACAGGGCGGGTCGGGGAACTGGTCTGTCTTCTCTGGATAATGTGGGAATTTGGAGGAACAGAGTTAAACCAACCACAGCACATTTAGTTTAAATGGGAGTTAACACACCTGAGGCTGTGTCTGGCTGGAGTGCTTTGCGTGTTGCAGCCACAGCGATTCTGGGGACTTTGTGTTTGCTTTTCAGGGTCCTCTTGGTAGCCCTGGCCTCCCTGGCTTGCCCGGCCCCCCTGGACTTCCTGGAATGAAAGGTGACAGGGTAAGAAATCTAGCCCTCCAGAGAGTACCTTATTGGGAAAGGATGTATACTATGTTGACAAACCAACCTTCCTTTTGGCCTGGCTTTTAGAAAATTCTACATTTTCTAGTGTTGATTAGAGAGAGCTATCAAGAAAGGTATTTGCCATTACTGAGAGTTGAGATTAAGAAGCACAAAATTCTATTACTATAATAATTTATTAGGAGGAAAAAAAAGCTGAGAAAATTAAAAAAAATTAGTTGTAATCATGCTTCCTATTCAGTTCTAAATTTACATTCCTACTAGTCAAATTTTACGTGGATGTGATCAAAGAAGCCTCCAAGTTGCCTAACGCCCCAAGTTGGACAATTGTCAGTTTTTGCCAGGTCTTACATGACTCTTGTTAGGTGGTGGGGAGAGGGGATGTTCTCTTCTTTCACATTACTCATATGTGTGCTTATCCACCAGTTTGATAAAGGGGGTTGGTTCAGTTGCAATGGTATAGATACAAATCTTAAAATACTGAAAAAGTGTTATGTTTTATTCATATCAGGGTGTAGTCGGTGAACCTGGTCCAAAGGGTGAACAGGTAGGCCCTATCTGAATAGTATAAAATGCGTGTTTTACGTGCATTAATGTACTTCACCAACGGGGCACGGGCTGGTTTTTGCATGTGATTAAAATGTTGGAGGCTAGTAGTTTTTCTCAGTGTGCTTTATGGTGAGTGAAACCTGAAGTTTATTTGGGTCTGCAGCCTTATCCACTATTCTTAATAAGCTGGAGCTACTGGCTAATGAGGACTCTGCCTCCAGGAACGAGTGGAGGCAGAGTGACCCTGACTCTAATTAACCAAATTGGTTTACTCTGATGAAGCCTTCCATAGCCATATCATAATGTTTTTTAAGGTTTTTCAATCTTTAAGCTTAATTTTTATAAATGTATTGGGGTGACATTGGTTAGTAAAATTATGCAGGTTTCAAGCGTACATTTCTATAAGACATCAGCTATATATTGCATTGTGGCCACATCATAATGTTTTAAGATTTTCTTTATTAAGGCCTTAGCAAATAAACTCTGCACTTAAATTAGAGTCAGTCTTTTCTCTGGATTCCTTTTTGTACTGTAAGAGCCCTTTTCCAAAGATTGCCTAATTTAAAAATTGCTAGATACAGTCAATAATCCTTAACTTTAGTGGAAAGTCAGCCTCGCCTTCTGGCTTTTCTCTAGGCCATTTTCTGATGGTGACTAGCCACTGACAGCTAGACTGGAAATCCACTGAGAGCATTTTGCATTTCTGCATGATCCGGGGAGCATTGTGGGCACTTACAAATGCTTAAAATGTTGACTGGTTAAAACTAAACCAAGGCACTAAGAATTTAAAAATGTGACTTTAATTTTAATTTTTAGGGCCCCTCTGGTGAAGAAGGTGAAGCAGGAGAAAGGGGTGAATTTGTAAGACATTTTTTTTTCCTAGTTAATGATGGAGACCTACTGATTTTGAACTGTTTTAGGACGTAGACATTTCTTTTCTTTTCTTTGACACTGTTATCCTTGCTACCTTCTTTAAAGATTAGCTTTCTTCTATAAGCTAACAAATGATTCCCCAAGACTGCAGCCAAGATCAATTAGAGGGGAAGCACCCCAAAGGTTGATAGACCTAGCCTTCAACTTTTGAAGAACAAAGTGTTCCTTTAGACATGGTGAATTCTCTTGTGGCTTTACATCTAGATATTCAAAGTGATTCTTATATGACTATAGAAAGCCCAGTGTCTATCATGGAAACACAATTAAAAATTTTAATATCGTTAGCTGTGGCTTACAAGTGTGACCATGGGCATTCTCTCTAGCCTGAAACCCTCCAAATAAGTGACCTCCATCCCTAGAGTATGCTGTTGCCAAACCTCCAGGAAGACAATAAGAACAAGTTATCTTTACTGCCAGAACTGCTAGCTCATCATTATGGTTTTGCATAATCTAACACTACGGAATGTGGAAACAAATGTTTGGTCCTTTGGGGGTGGGGGTGATAGATTTCTCATAAATAAGTTTCAAAGAGCTTTTAGTACAGGAAAAAAATTCTGGTAATGCTGTTTTATTCAGATTTTCAGGGTTTAAAGTTAATATAAATGTAACATCTGAATTAGACCTTGCTTCCTAACAATTAAGTAAATTCCATAAAAAATTATTTAAATTTTATTTTTCTGTTAAAATCATTCATTTTATGTACTAAGAGGATGTTTTAAGTCATTCTATTTTGTGGTGGAGATGAACTAATGTGCTACAACTTGAGCCGAATTCATATCTACAATCAGTGGTGGGAGATTTTCAAGTTTTTTTTTTTTTCAAAAACATAAAAACATGCATATTTGGTTTGATAGATTTTTGGGATGAGTTTTAAAATATTGTTAGTTTCAAAAATAAAGTCATCAGGCTTAAATATCTATTATGTTTCATAACAGAAGGCTATTTTGATATCTTTTGACTTACACATTTTTAGCCAAAGGCAGGGAGGTTACGTAGCTCACACAGGATCACAAAGAAGTAACAAAACTGGGACAAGAATTCAAATTTTGAGTCTGTTTTTCTGTGGTGTCAAGGTTCATCTGTCCATGATTTTCTGTAGATTTTGGTGGCACACTAACCTGTTAAATGTTTTTAGATAACTATCAACTGTGAATACATTGTTCTAACATAATTTTGTTTTATCGATTTAGGGAGATGTAGGATTACTTGGCCAAAAGGGAGCTGTAAGTATAATGAACAGTACTGATATAAAAACAAAAATATCAATAAAGCTGTAGAAAATACAATGCTCTGCTTTATAAAATCATTCTATAAAATTCAATTCTTAAAGGACTTACCTTCAAGGAAATGAATGTCTAAATTTATTTTTTAAGTAATGGATTAATCCAAAGAAGTAAAACTCACAACAGTGTAAATGATTTGCCTACTGAACTAACCATTCTAAAGGAAGTTGTTTTTGTTTTTTTGTTTTTCCATATTATAAGTGGCTCAAGGAGTATATTAGGTGGTAATTTCTTTCACAAATGGGTCATTTTTAATAAACTGACTTGTGCTTCATGATGATGAGAGCATAACTTAGTTTTGTTGGCAGTTGTACAATTTGTTGGCAAATATTTCAGAAATTTTCTTAATCTCCTGTGTGTTCTATATGGGGAAGTAAGATAGAGGCATAATGCATAAGAAAATATAATAGAGAACTATTAAAGCTAGAAAATGATTATCTTGTTCAATTCATCATTTTGTAGAAACTAAACTGATGTCCGTAGAAATTAGATGAATTCAGAATTATAGAACCAATTAGTAGCAAACCTACGATGATTTGCAATTGGAAAGGAATGCATATCTCATACAATAAGAAACTTAGTATAAGGAGAAAAGATGCAGTTAAGATCTCAATCTCAAGTGCCCCTAACCACCAGCTTCTGGGTGGTCCCCAAGTCCTTCCTATTTCTTGAATCTTCCACACTCCTCTCTGTCCCTGTCCAACATGTTATCCTCACAGACACCAACATAATCTAGATAAAAAGATAAAACCCACTATTTATCCCTTCTCTGCTTAAAACCCTTCAAAATAACATTTTATGGAATAAAATCGGACTCTTAGCAAGGTATACACAGCTTTACACAAAGTGTTCTCTACCTTGCCAACCTTATCTTCTCCCACGTCTGGGATTTCATCTGTTTGCAGTTCTTTTTACATGGCATGTTGTTTAAACGCGTGCTGTTCTCCTAACCTGGGGCATTTTGTCTCTTTTCCTCAAAATAGCTACCTCCTACTTAAGCCTGTAGACCCTTCTTCTGCCCCACCTTCTGCAGGAGGACTCACCCAGACTTGGTTAGAATGCCCAGCACTGGGCACCTTACACACTGCTGAGGTGGAAGTTATTACATTGTATAACCTCTTTACCTACTGCCTCTAAACACCATGTGACAGTCTCAAACTTCAAGTAACATTGTTATGCCTAAGAATCTTTGACAGCAATGGTTTAGGGTTGAGAAAAATGTGAAGAGTAAGCCTTGATAGAATTTGGTAATAAAAATGCTACTTCAGGTTTAGAAAAAATTAGTAATATTTGATCGCAAGCATTCACGTTGTAAAAGAAAAAAATAAATGAACAATGCAGTTGTCAAAATAAGCTCATTTCATTTAAATTTGGATATAATACTAGGAATTAGCTCTTGATGTATCACCTACTTTCCTGCCCCTGTCTTCTCTGACACGACCCAGGTAATACTGATGAAATCGCAGTGTACTGTCCCCAAATCAGGGGAAAGAGTAATGGGAAAACTTTCACTCTCCTCAGTGATTTCAGCATAGACCAACTTGATAAGTAGATGAAGTCTACTTCAGTATACCATGCCTTGGTTGAGGAATTTCTCCCCAAAGATCCAGGGCCCTTATGATATCCTGGCCATGTTGGACCTTGAACTTGTAATCAAAAATTTCTTGTTCCTTGTTCTAGCAATACTTCAGACATTGCCAGGAAGATAGTCCACTCTGATTTGGTTTCCTTTGTTTTCTGTCTGTTCTTTAGTGCCTTTCTGAATTCCTTTTGGCTTCTCCTCTGGGTTGTTTTCGAAGCTTTTATAGTTTTGCACTGTCGTCACCTGAAAAAACCCCAGCCTTCCATAGCACATCCTTAGCTCTCCCTGTTGACACTGACTTTCAGGAAATCTTTTAAGCCATAAATTCTTCATAGGAGTAGTTTTGACAGGTTGGCTTAAATATCATTTTTTTTTTTGCATAGAGATTGGAAAAAGCATACTTGCTGAGCTTTCTTTAGATGTGTCTAGTGCAAACATTGTGCCACCGCCTTCTCCCCTTCAGCTGAAAACATTTGAATGTTTGAAAGACTTAGCACTTTCTAGATAAATGTTGCATATGAAAAAAGCAGCAGGATTAAGTTGCTTTCTGAACATATCTTGAACACTAGCATCCCCTTGCTGTCTCCTGTTCTTTTATCTTCTCATTCTTATTCTATAAACAACAGTACACTGTAACTACCTTGCCACAAATTCCACCAGAGACAGTTTAACAAAAAGTGAATTAATTTAGTCTCTTTTTAAAGCAGTTATTGTACACAAGGACTCTTTGAAATGTTTTTAGTGGTCTGCTATCAGAAAAAAAAAATTAACTTGTATATGTTTTCTAAGGAAACAGTTTATTTCCATCTCCATTAATATTTAGATTTTTAACTTCTTCAAAACTTAGATAAATTATGGACTTACTCTTTTTGTTCCAGTATTTTAAATGCACTGATTTTAACTGCAACATTTTAAATGTGGCATTTTAAAAGTATTGATTTAGTTCATATTAGTATTTTCTGGATATATCTGGCATCTTCAAATTCTCCAAAGAACGATATAACCAGCTAAATAACTTATATTCTTGGAAATATTTTTATTTTATGCTTTCTATATTGGTGATATACAAAGTAACATGTCTTGTAAAAATCTCAGTGGCCAGAGAAAATTAACAAACCTTATTAAAAACTAAGTTGCTCTTAGTAAGTGGATTCAAATATGAAGAATGTGTGGTTTTAAACGTTTATTATTTCAGTTAACATTTTGAAATAATAACAATATCAAGAAGAAAGATTCTTTCAAAATTGACTTGACCTGGAATTCTAAGAGACTGGTGAGCTCTTGTGCAGCTTATGTGTGTCTTTATGTTGAGGATTTACAACTTCTGAATAAATACTTCTTAGGGAATAACATGTAGGAAACCTCAAATTTTGTGTCTTGATACTGTGTTACTATTAAGCAGACACATGACTTCTGTGTAGTCCTAGTGTGCCATTTTGTTCTAGGTGGGCAACCCCGGAGATCCAGGCTTGAGGGGGCCTGAAGGAGTTCGGGGTCTTCCTGGAGTGGAAGGACCAAAAGGACCGCAGGGACCACGAGGCGTGCAGGGAGAACAGGGTGCCACCGGCCTGCCTGGAATCCAGGGCCCTCCAGTGAGTGGTGGGCAGTCCCCAGGGTTTCCCTGTGGAGACTCCATCCCACAGCACAAGGGGTGGGGGCAGCCGGGCTAGACCAGATATCAGCTCCTTAGTCGTGTGGGCGAGTTCTCCCATTGTAAAGCCAGCCACCTGGTTCCTTGCCAAGTCTGTCAGTTTACCATTTAACACTGTCCTATTTACGGTTCCATGTATAAACTGTCTTTTTTCTCTTATGTCCCAGGGGAGAGCTCCAACAGATCAGTACATTAAGCAGGTTTGCATGAGAGTCATGCAAGGTAAATAAATCATAATGGCTTGATTTTGTGTATGCTTTAAAGGAGAGAGATTTTGAAAATTATCAATGTCAATTATGCTTTATCTAGTTTGTCGCCATCACAATAGTTTATAGCCTCAAAGAAAAAAAATATATGACCTTTCTGGATTAGCCTGGATTTTTTTTTTTTTTGCCAAGGGTGTTAATTTGTAAGAAAGTGTACACACACACACACACACACACACACACACACACACACACACTTATTTTCCCCTTTGGAACTACAGTTCACAAGTATCTTTTTCCTCATCAACACTCTACCACTTATGAGTACCCAGCACTGACTTAGGCTCTCTCTGTAGATTACATGAGAAGTAATTGACTGACTCCATGCCTGTAAGAAGCACAAGGGCATTATAGCTACTCATGTACCACCTATGTAGAAAATCAACAACTAGCATTTTACCAAAATGGTGACGAAGTTTCACATTTGTTAACCTTTATCTAAATTTATCTGTAACTATGGTGATTGCTATTTGTCATAGCTGTTTCAGAATTGGTCTAGTTCTGAAACCATACTGAAAATGAAGATGTACAAAAATACCCTATATCTGTGGAGATCCTATAACACTGGGATCTTCTAACAAATAATTATCTTATTCTGGTTGGAACTAATTCTGTCAGAAAAAATACTCTTCTTTGTATGTTCATGGGATCATCTAATTTGTTTTGTAGACTTGTAGTTTTCCAGAATGAAACTGTCACCTCTATATTTGAAAACCAATATAAGTCTCTTCATTGCAGACATTTTTTTCTCTTGAAAGGATATTTCAATTTTAAACATCACATACATATCTAGAAAATTGTGATTTTATGCTAACTCTAATGTAAGCAAATTTAGAATACTCGCATTGAAACAATTTAAAAATATTGGTTAGAAATATGTTTCCAATTAATATTCTCCTTCACACCCTAAAACTTTAAAAAATACTACAGTAGACTATTTCCCTTGGAATATTTTAATGGGAACATTTTCTTGTTCTCCATGGTTTTGATTCTCCATGGTGAATGATTCTTAATCTAATGGTTCCTGAAAAAGCCCACATAGTTATTAATTTTTAAGACAGACTGTGACCATTCCCAAGAAGCAGGCTTTTTAAAATGGCTGTTGTCTATTCCAAGCATGAAAAACTTTTAAGAATTCATAAGAAGTCATGAATTCTCAGGATAGTTCAGGTTATTCAGTATCTTGAAAGTAAAAATGTGAGGCTAGATCTCAAATGTGTCTCAATACCAATTGTGGACATTGTCCTTCACTTAAAAAAAAACAAACCAAAAACTTCTGGACATCTACCTATGTGACGAAACTCATTTTCTTCCCATCCTGGGTTTTCAGATAACAAGCCAGGATTCAGGTGACACATTCAATCTTTTAGGACACCACTCACACCAAAGCCTTGCAGTTTAAGGTTTTTATCCCCGCCCCCTTGTCTCAAAACAGCAGGACCAAATATATCCAGGGAGAGCTGAATAAAACAGCCCCAGTGAAGCTTCCTGGCAAGGAGCCCCTGGAAAAATGATCCAACTTGATTCATTTCTCATCACCAATTTTGAAGTTCTGGTGACATGTTTAGAAAAAAAGCCCTTGAAATACCTCTCTTTTCATTTGAATCACGTTCATGTGTCTTACTTTTCTGGGCCCTTTTGTTTATTATCTTTTAGAACATCTTGCTGAGATGGCTGCTAGTCTCAAGCGTCCAGACTTAGGAGCTTCCGGCCTCCCTGGGAAGCCGGGAGCCCCTGGACCCCCAGGACCCCCTGGAGAGAATGGTTTCCCAGGCCAGATGGGACTTCGTGGCCTCCCAGGCATTAAAGGCCCTCCTGGTGCTCTTGGTTTGAGGGGACCTAAAGGTAAGCCATTTTTCCCAGGTGAAACCGGAAACACAGATGGTCTTTTTTCAGGGGTATTCACAGGTCCTCCCAAGCTCTAGATATCCTGTGAGATATGATGTATTATTCTCTTTTATAATGGTGATGGCAAAGATTAGAAAAATGTTATATGATATTATCTTCACCTTGCTGTATGACAACAGTAGACTAAATGCTATCATTAAGGCCTCTTGACTTTCAGCACTGGTCTTTTTCAATTATGCTGTGTCTCAATCATTTCTCAAAATAAACTTTACAGGACCCCCTAAAGGACCATTCAGACATTTTTTTGTGTGTGTGTCAAGACCTTAAAATCATTGTAGAGCTCTTCTAAGGTGACAAACAGCCTTAGAATGTTTGTTTCTGTTACTTAAACTAACAAAATTTGTTAGCATAAGGAAAATTACATCATGAGTTGAGGCTGCCTACCCCTTCTTCTAAAAAGTGACATTGTATATTTAGTTTTGATGGATTTTATTTCAGCTCTGACATAAATCTACCTTTATTCCTTTTTTAACTTGTGAGAGAGATTGAGAAAGTTTGTTTCTTCCTCTTTTATTGAAAGCATGTTAAGCGCTTGCATCTAGTATCTTGCAGAAAAATAGGGTTGTGCGTGTGTTAGGTATTCAGCAGGACTTGCAGAAGTACTGGTTGCCTCAGATGGTTTTTGCTGTTTGACATAAGTAAATATGTCAGCTTAGGGTGTGTGAATCCTGGGTAATTTACAGAGAGGACTAAATGAAGTGAAGAGTGACTGACTGCTCTCTGGGGAACCTCAAAAAGGCATGACATCAAAAGCAAAAGAGGGACTTTCGTTTTTTAAATGGCGGAGTTCCAATTAGAATTAAATATTATGATGTGAATGATCAGAGGGCAAGCAAGATGCCTTTTTGGACTTATAAGTGAATTGCTGTTGCATTTGGCTAACTACAACCTCAGCTGGAATAATTTTGTTAATTACATTTTTTTTTAACATGTGAATGTTAATACATGAGCCCTAGTTGGGGGTCCTTGTAAGCCTGGCACAATTTCAAAGCTTTCAGAGGCTAAACAAAATTAAATATGGAGAGGACTCTCAGTTCTCTGAGAAAATCATATAGCCATTTCTCTCTGCCCTGCTTGTTCGGGAACTCACGCCGTAGGTGCTTTCTCTGTGGTTAGTCCCCGCTCACTCTGTAAACCATTTCTAAGCAACTCCCGTGCCACGGGCGGTTGTTGACGTACTTGGCTCGGTTGTACCAGAGCCCACGGATGACTCCTCAGCTACCATGAGTTCACTTTGGAGCAGCGGTTCTGCAAGAGCGGTCCCTGGGGCATCAGTGTCACCGGGGACTTTGTTAGGAATGCAGATTCTCCAGCCCACCCGGACCCCATTGCTCAGAAACTTTGGGGGTCGGGGGTGGGTGGTGGGTGGGGGACAGCAGTCTGAGTTCTAAGGAGCCTCCTGGAGATCCTACTGCCGCTGAATGCTCGTGTAGACTAGTCACCTGCTTTACAACTGAAAAGGAGCACCTTGCAGACTATAGAAATCACAGCTCTATTGTGTTTGGCTAAAAGGAAGTCTCCATATTTGGGCAGAGCGTCCCTTTGAGTTAGTAATGGAACTCTCTCCCGGAGTCCCACCTTTTCCCTTTCAGAAGTCAAAATGTCTATGTGACTTGCTAGGCCAGGGGAGTCTGCCTACAGTGGCACTTCTCAGCCTGGGCTGCACACCAGAATCACCTGAGGAGCTTTAAAACTGACTCCTGTCTGGGTCCCATTCCCAGAGATTGTGATTTAATTGGTCTGGGCATCGAGACTTAAAAATATACCCTGGTGATTTCAATGTGCAACCAGGACTGAGAACACTGGGAACAAAGGTGACATGTTTGGGAAACTTTCTGGGAAGCTCTAAGCAGCGTTGAATTGTGGTTGGGTTGGGCTGTGTTGGGCCTAGCAGATAAACCTAATTTTGAGGGGAGGAAAGCATATTTCTATGTTTGGAACCTGAAATATAGCTGTACTGCTAAGGTCATTTGTCAAGCATTGCTTGACCTTACAAGGGATTTCCCCCTAATTTTTCTTCAGTATTTATGGCATAGTCTATAATCCAGTCCTTTTCTTTTTTTCTAAAAGACTTTCTTTCCCCAGCCCTCTCCATCCTTTCTTGTCACTGGATTCCTTTAAAGCAGCAT